ATAGTATTTTGCTTCCTTGGATCCCAAAGAGGAGATGTTGAGATAAAGACTTTTTTATTTTATTTTATGGGTTTTGTATTGAGCACTGAGTGTAATAGACTTTGGAAGAGTTTAAATTCTTGTGTTAGTTTGAGTAATTACTCTCACTGCCAGAGAAGGAGATACAAGTTTTGCACTGCAGCTTTAAGACACCAACCAGAAGCCATGAAAAACAGACCAAGAGTCGAGGTGTCCACATATTTATGGCCATATAGTGCAACATATATTGTATAAAAGTATTTGCACCCAAATATTACTGTAAAATCATAAAAGGACGTCAGTGTTTATCTTCCTGCTCATTTGAGTCAAGTTATTGCATAATCCAGGAGTCATTACATCATCTGTTGCTATGGTGACCCAGAGATGTCAGTGTAAGCGCGCAAAGGAGGAATGTATATGTCGACTACCCACAGCGCTCGACTTCAAGGTCAAGTTTAAGAGCGGACGAGCTTGACGTGATTGCAGGGCGTCGCAGAGGGTGCAGCCTGCAGTATGTTTACGTCTGATTGGTAATAATTCATAAGAAGCTTATAGTGAGGTCATACAGCTGTCATCAGGCTGCTGCGTGCATATTTCACAACAATTTAATGCACTTCACTTGGAGATGAATGCAGGGCTGTAGTTGCTGTACCTTACATGGTTCTGACTGTCTGAGCCTAAGACTGCAGAGTCCTTCCTTTTCTTTAATTCACTGCCTTTTCTTTGTTTTTCTGTATTTTCTTCACTTTAAGTTTGTTTGGATTTGGGCTAAATGTTAAAGAAGCGACAGAAGTTTAAAAGTTACATTTCTGTCTGTATTTACTACAGAACCGTTTGTCTGAATCATCGACCGTTGGAAGTTTTTATCTCCCGTCTGGGTCAACCTGACAAAAATCATAACTTTGTCTGTGTGATTCAGGGAGTTTGAAGTCAGACGTTTTCTCACTAAACAGCTTTGATATGAAACATGTTGTCAGGGCCAGTGTGTGTTTCCTCCTCGCAGCGTTAGATCACCTCTCTCTGACCCGGCTCTAACGGCCTGTGGCAACGTCATCCAGAGCCCGGCATGTTATGTGACAGACAGATGAAGGGTGTAGAGGAATATTAGAGCCTGAGTCCTCATTCCTTCCTCAAAAGATCTTCATCCCTCCATCCTCATCAACTGCTTCTTCAATTTTGTCTCTGGTCTAAGAATTAAGACGTTTATTACAACTTGGATATTATTATTGTAGTTTCATAGAACTTCGTATCACATAACATCAGTAAAGCTCATATTATTTACAACTGATAGAAGTGTCACGTTATAAATACTTATATATCATTCTGTGGTTACTTTCAAAATAAAACTAGCTGAGGTCGCAGTAATGTTAAGTTCAGGAAAAGATTGTAGCTAACACATCTGACAAAAACCTCCTTTCCATGCAGACTTTGACGTTTTATAGCACTTTCATTTGTACTTCTGCATATCCGTGAGGCAAAGCGTGACTGTGACACGGTATCCTCTAGTAGATCAGGTGTGAGGCTGAGGCTAACTTCTAATGACTGAACTTTGCTTCCAGGACTGTTTCATTTGAAGAAGACCCATAGAGGTTTTAAGTATGACAGAAATCAGAAACCACGAGGTATCTCAAACCCTAATTAATTACCTAAACCACAATCTTTCTTTAAACCTAAATCTAACCAAACCTGAACCAAAGCTCTGTCAGATCATACATTGTATTTAATTTTTTGGGGCCATCAGTTCAGAGGACACAGTAAAGGTTTTCAGTGTTGAAGGTGTGCCTTTAGAGGTGGACTCCAAACTGATTCAGGGGAGGCTCAGTGAAGGGAATAAAAAAATATGATGTTTGTTGTCAAAAGAAGATCACATAGAATAATAAGTGTGTGATTTATTTAAAGAGAGATACAGTATATTTTGGGTAATTTTACTTAGAGTCAGAAACTAATGAACACCTCAGGAGAGACCATTTTTATGTATTTGGTGTAGTCTGAAGATATGTCAAACAGCAATGTTGGACTATCAATTGTTGAGTGTCTATGGGATCAAAGGATATAAAAGACTTTTCCAAGTTTTGTCTGAGAGGACACAGCTAGACTTTAAAAACCTCTGATGTCGGGGACTTGTCGTCACTAATAACCCGTGTCTGGATGGAAAATGAAAGCAGGATTCAGAGACACTCACTGTTAATCTTGTACGGTCGCTCCTGACCAGCCTGATTGACTGCCTGTCTTACTGACTGACTGTTTGACTGACGGACAGGCCGACCGCCTGTCTCGCTGTCTGATTGGATGGAGATTGCAAACACAGAGCTGTTAGAGTATCTAAGGGAGCAGCTCGATGGCTGACACCTTCATTTCACTTTGACTCGCTCTGTCCAGATAAAATCCCAATTAAGTCAAGGAGGTGGTTGGTAGCTGTGTGTGTGTGTGTGTGTGTGTGTGTGTGTGTGTGTGTGTTTATGTCACTTTAAGAAGTTAGTATGTTAAAGACAAGGTCAGGCCTCCCACCAGTTATCCCTCGTGCCCCAACCTCCCTCAGTGTCTCTCTTTCTCCTCTCAAACTGAAGCATTTGCCAGTTTCTCTTTCTCTCTGCGGGGTAGTTAGATCCCCTACCAGAGATGCTAATTATTGCCATGTGCCTTCCCTTCACGCTACCAGAAACACACACACACACACACAGTCACTGATGACGTCTGTGCCCACAGTTGGTTTCTTGATCCGAGCCAGTTAGTCACATGTATGTGTGTTTAAGAAGGATTTGTCAAGTCAGCCGCGCAAACAGCTTTTTTCCGTGTTCGACAAATCCGCTGCAGCTTTAGCGTCACTCAGGTCGGTTTCATGCATCTCTCACTGCTCGAGTCATACGACGTTTCTTCTTCACTCTGATTTTCTCTGAATTCTCAATGTTTTATTTTTTACTGAGTCATCCTGCAGTCAGAGAAATCCTGAAACTGCTCCACAGCTCATCAGCCGTCGTCTGCTGCTTCAGTTACAGCTGTCACAAAATCACGCTCTGTGTAAGAAAGCACATTTAGGCTTTTTGAGAGTTGTGTATTCGACTGGCTTGCTTTTAATCTGTCGTGAAGCAGTGTTCGCATACAGTGACACACTTGTCCAATTATAGACGACACAGACGTAAAATGAAGTGACACAAACTGTAAATGGCATGAAACATGAGCAAAAAGTGATCAGAAAGGACTAAAAATGTGCATGAAGGTGCTGTTTATCAGCTCTTTTTGCTGTTTTGCTTCATATTCAAGCTAAAATGATCCACTTTAGTAACCGTGTTTTTATCTCTAACTCAGTTTCTTCATATTTAAAGTGTTTTTTATCAGGTCTTTGCCTTATTTTGTCCACCTGTGTAGGAAAATTCAGCGTTTGTAAAAATTAATTCCCAGTATGAGGAAGCACATAATTCCTTAAAGAAACAAAAAATACAGATTTAAAACTTATGTTATGTAAGGGGATTAATGATGAAAGGTCACTTAATGGCAGGAAAAAGTACACTTATGATTCATAAAAGTGCATCATAGATTAAAACAGGAAATATAAATATAGGTCCAGTTGGTCAGCAGCATATTAGGAATTACCTACCTCCTTTATACTTCATATTCTTTATTTCTAGAACATTTTGCTGCATAAACAACTGTGTTTATGTGTGGTTTTATGTTTAGCTTCCCTCAAACTGCCCCTTAAAAGAGGAATATGATATTTTTGACTGAATAAAGAAAGTTCTTATAGGATTTACAAAGATGCAACAGAGTCGAAGTGCTTTTCAAGTTTTTTAATCTTTCATTTTCCACCTATTCTTTCTCCCTTTTTACCTCCAAACTTGTTCTCCTCCTCTTCCCAGCATCTTATCTTTTCCTCCTCTTCCACTTTTTGACCATCCCCCTTTACATTTTCTGTTCCCTCACCAACACAAACTACATCTCCATCTAATACTTTGTTTCTCCCTGCTGCCATTACCAGTTTGATAGATGGCTCTCTAATAGTTCATCTGTACAGAGCGATCCGTCACTGCCACCTTACAAACTGCATTACCCACATATCCCCTCTCTCTTCTCCGCTTTCACACTCACCTGTCTTGCTTACTTCTATCAGCTCTTAAACTCAAACTCCCATGATGCTTCTCTCTTTTGCTGCCTCTGACGTTGTTGCCTTATTTCACCCAGAAAGTATTTGTCATTGTTTGTTTTACTTCACTTGGAGACTCCAAGCTGGGCGGCATAAAATTAATTCAGACACCGTCACTCAAAAACAAGCGCTCACCGCTGGTGTTGCTTTACTTTCAAGTCATTTTCCAGTATTTTCTGGCTCTCTATTCAAAACTTTCTTTGTAAATGCGGCAAACTCCACCCGTCTGGTATTCCCTGGTGGTGAAAACACAACCATTATAGGAGAGCTATTGAATTCAGATGCTTTGTGCTGCGTGGAAATCTGCTGATGGTACCTTTAGGTAGGCTTGATTTATCACTGCACGCGGGGAGATCAGTCAGCAAGTTTTGTGGTGGTTCGTCACGCCGTGAAAGGTGAATTAAGTACATCTGCAGTTCTTTGAGTTCCAAAACGAACTCACGTACACACACACACACACAAGGGGGCCCAAACTGCACCATCTGGTCTTGGTTGAGTGGAGAGGATGACTAAGCATAATGTGACAAGTCAAACAGCTTTCTCTCTGACTGCTTCGTGTTTTGATGTCTGAGATTTCAGCTCTTTGTAGAAAAAAAAACTACATTTTAGTGCAGCTTTATTGTTTCTCTCTGACATTTGTTTCCATTAATTCAGCCAGTTTTAGTCTACAGAATCTTTTAGCCGCAGATATTTGGTTTTCCGCGGGGTGTGAGAAATCTTGATTCGACAATTTGTAATGATGGACGTGCTTTATTCTCTACTTTTCTGTGCTGCAGGCTACATATAAATGTTACATAGAAGAATATGGAAAGTAAATGTCTCCCTCTCTCTCTGTCTCTGGCAGGTGATATCACACAGAAGGGCTATGAGAAGAAGCGATCCAAGCTGATTGGAGCCTTTTTCCCACAAGCGCCAGGTAAAACTGACTCCCCGTGACCTTTTTCATTTGTCCCCTTTAAAAAATAGACAGAGCAACTTTCAGAAATATGAAGAATTGCACCGGATAAATAATAATGAGAGGAAATTTGCTGAAAAACGTCTCATGAACAGACATCACCTAAAGTATAAAATGTTAAAGTCAGAACGGAGTCATTCTCACATAAAAGGTTAAAAAAAACTATAAAATACTCTATTTAAAGGACCAGTGTGCATTCAGTATCAGTTCTTAGCATCTAGTGTTGAAGTTGCAATTACCAGTCATGCCTGTATTTGACGAAACATGGTGGTTCAACATGGCGGACTCCACCATAAGATGACTAGCTCCCTCTGTAGATAAAAACGTCTCATTCTAAAGTAACGAAAACACAACAGGTCTTATATTCAGGTGATTATGCACTAATGAAAACCTACCTATGGATGTTATATTCCATTTCACACTGGACCTTTAACAATGAACATCCCAGCAAGAATAAAAACAATAACAACAACCAAACTCATCTGAATATTCATATTTAGCACATTTGAGTAAACACACAGTTTCAGCTCTGTGATTTCTCTCATAGAAACTGATACACAATGTTTTTTGTACTTTCTGGACTTTGACTAGATATGTGAAACCTCAGAGCAGTGTTTTTTTCTTCTACCTTCATAATTAGACATCCCATGGGAAACGTCTGCATGTCGAGGATGTTTAACCAGGACAGAGTGAAATGACTTTAATTTTGCCAAAACAAACTATTATTTTGGGAATGTGTTGGCTGGTTTTACACAGAGAAAATAATTCTTCTTTTATATGTGAAGGAAGAATCAGTGGTCTTTGTTTCACTGAAAGGACTCTTGCAGGGTTTGAAACTGCAATGCTTCATTTCCAAGAATACCTGTTTATTTATTTAGGTGTTTTTGTCCAATAGACTTCCAACGTGCACTGTGGGGGTCTGGTTTTCTTCTAAAGTGAAACTGGAGAGTTTGGTTTTCCTCCACATAGGATGTGTGTTGATTCTGATCTTCGTACACTTAATAAATCATCACCAGTTGACGTTGTTTTTGGAAACACACCACAGATGGATGTTATTGAGTTAGACCACAAAGGATCTAAAAGTCCATTTTATAGTAAAACACGGCATCAGACTGCTGAGGATGGGACTGTAACGTCACTGGAGACCAGCAGACACACTGGCACTGCCAGAGCTATTACTGGAATACACTGTGTGTGTGTGTGTGTTCATAGGGTTGGGGGGTTGTCAGGAAGTGCATTATGGGAAGGAATGAGGGGTGTGGGATGGAGAAAATGTGTGGTATTCACATCCAGGCCCAGTGGGGGGGTCGTCCCTAGTTCGCTATGGGGGACCGGATGACACACACTCCTCTGTGCTCACCCACACACACACACAGTGTGTGTGTGTGTGTGTGGTGTGTGTGTTTGTGTGTGTGTGTGTGTGTGTGGTGAGCACAGGAGGAGTGTGTGTCATCCTCCCATGACAGGGTAGACGACGGGCCCACTGGGCCTGGATGTGAATAGCCACCACATTTGGTTCTTCCATCCCACACCCCTCATTCCTTCCATAATGCACTTCCTGACAAACCCCCCAACCCTGATGAGACGACACACAAGACACAGCACAACGAGCACGGCAGCACACAGACAGCACACACAAAGAGCGAGTGGTATTCCCAGTAATAGGCTCTGCAGTGTGGCGCGAGGTGTGTCCGTGCTGCTGGCAGTGACGTGTTACCTCCCAGTCCCCTAGCACGTTGAGTGCCGTGTGTTACGTATAAAGCAGAGGCTTTTAAGTCCCGTTTGCGTTGGGGTGAAGCTTCAATAACCAGTCCATCGTTGGGTGTGTGTTCCCAAAACAAGGCAGGCAACGTGCAGGCTGTACTGATTACTTAAAAAGTGTCGAAGATCAGAATCCACACAGTCTCCTATGTGGAGGAACAACCATCAACTCCTCCAGTTTCACCTGTTAGAAGAAAACCAACCCCCGCATAGTGCACGTTGGAAGTCTATTGGGACCAACAAAACTTAAATATAA